CAAATTTGGTCTAAAATCTGCATAGCAAAGATATATATTTGTATCCAATATTTGAGCTCAACGCTTTAACAGCCTCTTGGCGACAAAACTACTTGGGCCTTCAAAAGGAAAATGCCACACCAATAACAAAAACGTAAGGGCTTAAATGAATTCCTCAACAGTAAGCTACTTTATTCACCTCCACATATGTATGTATATATGGTGATAGTGTATGTGTTTATATAAGCTGTGGAATAATGTTTTCTTGCGTATATAAATATTTGTCTCAAACTACAGCGACTAAGTACAACAAGCTATTGTTGAGCGAGCATCTTTCGTCGTTTTGATGTCACGAAAAGTGAATGCGGCATTTGGCTATTGTTTTTTATGCGAAAAACTTTTTTGGCAGCTGCAACTTTGCCATAAGTGCCAGCTCAAGCACACCGACAACAGTTTCTTAGCACATGCAACTTCATACATTTTTAGTGATATGTCCAAGTTTTTGAATGTCATCTTTATTATAGAATATATGTATTGTTTATGGATTTATATTTTTGAGGTCAAATAAGTTTAAAGTTGGAATATGAAATGGTCTATAAGAGTTTTTTAAGCTTTCAACCAAAAATACGAATAAAAGAAATAAAATCGCGATGCTCCGTGTTCAGTGTTTAATTTTTTCAGCCTTTCAAATAACAAAATCAGTTTCAAATTGTCATACAAGTAGTATATATATGCACTATTTTCTCTTCATCTCTTAAATATAAAGTTATAAAATATATGTAAAAATACCGTAATATATCTGGCTGGATCCTTGATATCTGGCCAATATATATTCAAGTGAAGTATGATGCAATGCATATAGCCAGACGGTTTATGATTTTACGCCACTGGGGCCAGCTTCGACATCAATGTGGGTGTGGTATCACAACCGATCTTGTTAAGAAACCCGCACTGAATTGGGAATGAGACCGAGCAAAATCCATGAGGAACTAACCAGAACATATTCATTTTTAGAAAGAGAACATTGGTTATGTGGTCGACAACGATATATCAAAGGGTGAAACAGGAACAGGAGCTGTCTTTTTCTGTAGTAATTCATATGCAGCAAGTAGCCTCAAACTAACTGATTACAATTCAGTCTTTCAAAAGATGTCAAGTGAGCTTTTCCTCTACTCAGCAAGTTCATTAAGTTTTCAGTAGGGGTGGAAAAATTTAGATATTTTACTAAATCCACTCAGTTACCGAATAAGACTTAATTAATTTGGATACCACCCTGTAAGGAAGCCACCTAATTTAATTTTTGTTTGTTTTTTATTTCATTGAACAGTCTTAGTACAAATGGAGGACTCGTAGGCTGAAGATTGGACGAAAGAATTAATTTATTTTTGACCACTGAATTGTATCACTTGAAAACATTGTTTATGTTATTCAGAAAAGTGGTGAAACTAATTACTGAACCGGCTCTACAATCGATTGAATAACGTTGATCTTTTTGATAATATTTTTTCGTATGAAACTTTAAGAGTTTGGGGTTAAAGTTTTTTATCCACTTAGTGGATTCTTCAGATGTTTTATCTACTAAACACTTTCAACAATTATCTAATAATCGACTCAGTAAAGTTTATCGGACCATTTATAAATACACTCCTCGCATTTAAATGCGACATATTATTCAAGCTTCAAGCAAAAATATATATAAACCTTAAATGATTTCGCTTTTAATTCGAAGTAAGTGTAAATGAATGTAAATAATAAGAACGGCTGACAAAAAGGACCTAAAATGCGCGCTGTCAAATAAAAATGGCAAAATCTGCAAAATCAACAAAGTGCCAAAATGTCAAAATTGAATGAAAGACCGCGAATATTTTAGTGTTACCCGCCCGTTTCCATACAACTGGAAGGCGTTAGCAACACGCTGATTGGCATGAGTAATAGCTAGAAGAAATAGTGACATTGCTTGCCACAGTAAAGAAGTCAGTCGGTGGCAACAACCTTTGGAAAGAGCGAAGGCGTGCAATAATAAGATGTTGTGGCACTGAACACGTTTTGCCGTTGGCGTAAAAACAGCGGAGAAGCGGAGATTCGGCAAGAAATTCGGGAATAGAAATAATGTTTGTTATACTGACATATGCATGTATGCATGTGTGTGTATAAATGCCGGGCAGTTATGTATGTATATATGGATGCGTACAGCACATGAAAGGTATGAATGTGTGATGGAAGTAAATTGGTGTCAATGACTTGGTAAATAACCGCAAAGAGGCGTGTGTGTTCTAAGTGTGTCTACACTTCTTAGAATATATGAATTTCCTATGAGCCTTTTATTTGTTTGTGTGTGTATGTGTGGCGGCTTTGCTCTTTCACTTCTTATACCAATTTTTTTGTCGCTTTTATCGGCCTAAATGTCATCTTCTTAATTGTTTAACCAAATAGTAGCAGAGGCCCAAGCAGACAAATATCAACCAAAAAACACTTACAAATATAGTATATACTTATAGTACCTAAGCTTTTAGCCTGCATTTACTTATTAATTGTTTCCTTCATGCTCAACAAAATTTACTTTGTGCAAGAACCGAAAATTTATGTTCTCTTCTTGCATGGCAATTCTTTGAATTAATCGCTACATGTGATTCCAATGATCTTCATAATGCTTATGTTGACGATAATGCATTCACACATGGCCTGATAGTGTGCTCATCACGGCCTAGTAAAAACAGTTTGCCCGATTAAAGAAGGCGAATTTGTGAAGATAATTGCTTATGCAGAATACATAAGTTGTATGAGCTTATGTGCCTACAATTGGGGTTAAACATATAAAGAGAAATAGAGAGGTAACCTACATGATTAGATGCAAATTTTGTTGCATTAAATTATACCAAAGATGAGAGACAGGAGAAAGAGAGATAGTATGCTGATCATTAATTAAACAATTTTTTCTTGAATATATTTAAGGCATACCATACATAAGATTGACCTCCTCTGCTGATGACATTTCACTCTCACTATTTTGTCTTCAAAAAATATCACGAAGACAAACTAGCTTTATATTCCTTCCTGAAACATTTCAGCAACCTTCTGATTTTCATCCAGTCTCTTGAATTGTGAAGCTGTTAAATATACATATATAAACCGCGTTCTAGATAAGACTTGACATAAGTAGAAGAGGTGTACCAGCATCGCTCTCATGCCTACTTTATAATGCCCATACGGCTTGGATGTGATGCCAGAAAGTTGTGACGTTTAACAAGGTCAACAACCATTCTTTCGACTCCGTTTGAGTGGAAAGTTAGCATGTTTCCTTCCGCTTCCTTGTAATATGTTATTAGCGATCCTATATGTTCCTAAGAAACTCTATTTTACGCTCATCCGCCTCTCAACACTTTCGGAACCTTCACTGTGTATTATTTTTAGGGTTTTACGAACTTACACAACTGGTTTGGCAACCAAGCGAATGTCATTTTTTACAATTTTCTCAGCTGTTTCCTTTCCGGAACGCCCTTATGGCCTGGAATGTAGTTTATATATATGCAGTGACTTTCCGGCAGCCGCTATATCTGCTGTCTCGCTGCATACAAGGATAATCTTTTACGATGATGTTCTTTGTCAATATGTACATTGTTAGTAAAGTGTTGTTTGATGCGTTTTTAGCTATCTCAGAAGCTTTTCTTACTGCAAAGACTTCTGTAAAGAAGATACTGCACTATTTCGAAGTGAGTGCTTAGTACTCCCGTCTCCAAACGCCGTAAATAATGGTTTGGCTACTGTTATGTAAGGAGAGGTGATAGGTCCTGGTAAAGGCTATCATATCCGGTTTACCGGCATTTACTTCTCAGATAACCGATATTGCTCGTTGGTGTATGACTATTAGAACGCTATCGAATGTTACGTCGTCTGCATTGACCATCAGTTTGGATGCTCTTTGTTTAATTTATCTCAGAAGCTCACATGCTATAAGTGATCACGGAAGAGGCGACTGTACGTTCCCTAAGAAGTTCGCTTATTTCAGTAATCTTGTTTCGTTTTATTCTCTATTAACCTTCCTGCGCAATAGTCGAGCTTTTATCCATGCTATATGGGTGGGCTCTATGCCGGCTACTTCCAAACTATTAAGGATTGTATCGTTGGGCACATTATTAAATGCTCCGCTTATATCAAGAAGGACGCCAAGGGGAAATTTCTTATGATTACTAGTTCTCTCCATTTTTAAGGTTAACGTCTGGAATGCTTAGTGGATTTACCCTTTGTATAGGCGTATTGAGCTTTCTATAGGTTAGCCGTGGATTCTTTTCAAGTGTCTTCAGAAGGAATGAGGTTAAACTTATTTTATTTATATTTGGAATAAAAACTATTTTGACAGCCTTTGATATCAATATGACTTCTTTCATAGGTATACAGTTAAGAATTAAGCGTCCGATAATAATGAATGTCAAGATATGGTACCATCCATGTTAATTTTTAACATTAGTCCGGATCAAATGTGATCTTATGTGAAAGGAACTAAAAGCTCTCGAAATTAGTCCATAACATTACTAGCCGCAAGGATCTTTGATTTCATCCTCAAAATATGGAGGTCGTTCCTGCGATTGAATTTACGCAGTGTATTTTATATCATTCAATATATAACATATTTTAAGGTAATGTTAAAAGACATTTTTTCTTAATTATTTTTTCACTGCCAAAAATTCAAGTATTCCCTTAGAGCACATAACTTCCAAATACATATCGTGCTTTCGGGCTCTATGATTGACTTAGAACAATGAATGATCGTTGAAGTTGTATGTATGTACTATCCATAGTATAATATTAATAAGAATTTATTAAAGCACACTGTACAGCCCAGCCGAGTAACGTAGCCAACCAACTTTTTTTAAGAGATTGAGCTACATATAAGTGAAAAACTAATTTCACCTTTTTTGAGGTTAGTCCCCAAAATAAAAATTCGAAATTGAGTTTATTTTAATTATGTGCGCTCCTTTCGGTTACGTATGTATTATTCACAAGTAATTTAATATTAGACTTACCTCTCATGTAAATGTAAGCCGTTCCGCGCATATTTCTTCGCGTCAGTACAACCAGATTAAGGACGTTGCCAATGATGCCAAGCGAGCAGATTATTGGTAAAATGATGCCGTAGGAGTACTCACGTAAAGCCTCCGTGCGTGGATCCTCAGGGAACTGTATAAATAAAATGGAGAATAAGCATAAAATAATATCACCAAAGGAGTTGAAAATTATTAAGTGAAAACGGTGGAAATTCAAATATGTGAAATCACTGCTGGCATTTTTCTCCTTCTCTCTTCATATGTCTACAATTGCAAGTGGGACTGTGTGCAAATAAGCCTTTGTTGTGAGAAACAGCGAAGAAAAGGTATGGCATTAAATGGCCTTCCAAATGCTTATGCATATAAACATTTATCCAGCACAATAAAAGCCATTACTGGTGGATATCCAAAAACACGCACACACACATATATAACTCGTACAAACAGGCATATGGGCGAATAAACATACCATAAGCCTTGCCGCATACTGGCACGTTCCGTTAAACTAGCGAATGGAAATTTCAATGAAAAGTAAGAAAAATTGAAAAGAAGCTGGGCAAAATATTGCCAACAAAGTGTTACAGAATGGACAAAAAAAAAAAAAAAAAAGGAAACGGAGGAATATAAGTCAGTGCTCAAAGAATGACTGTAAAGAAAAGCAGAAGGTTGACATAATCTATGTCATTACTATGCCCATTCATTGCCGTTTGCATGTCCTACACGGAGCTTAAAGGGCAGTACGATGCTCAAGTGAGTTCGACCGTGTTCAAGTCGCTCCTGCACGACTGTGCCTACCAATGTCATTACATAGCGCCTAACGCCACTTTTACATATTGCCTACCGCTGTCGATGTTGTAGCCGTTCCATGCTGAGCTTTGCTGACAGTCAGCGCCCAGCGCCCGGCGCCCATTACCCACTTCGTGCTCTCGCTCATTGCCATTAGTATTAGTATTTGTATGGCAAATCAATTTCTTCTTCTTGGCCATCTCTACTTTTCCCGTTATCGTTGATGAGTCTGCAGTTGAATGAGATGCGCTGTGTCATCTTCTCTGTGAATGGGTCTAGGGCTGCTTAGCATAACGCCAGCGCGCCGCGGATTTACAAATGAACAAGTATACTTTTAACAAATGTATGTATATTTTACATACGTATTTATATCGAATTAATGTGTGTAGGTATGTGTTTATGTTAGGGTTGTCCTTAAGTGCAGATAGAAATATTTGGCATATATATTATATATTTTTTTTATTCTTCTACGAAGTTTAAGTAGTTCATCTAAAATTTCTAAAAATCTATTTTATAATCTTGTTTATATTATCATATGTTCATATCGTCATCAAAAATCGAAATAATAAGCATTTTGTAATCAGTGGTTTCCATTATAACGTTTTTCCTTCGCCTGTAAACTTATGAAGAGTGTTACTTTGCATTTTAGGTGACGATATATTGAAGCATAAACACCGAAGTTTACAGATTCATCACAAATCGCTTCGAAAAAACTTTAAACTCGTCTTTCATGAAACGAAACGACTGAACCGATCAACATGAAATTTTTTACTTTTTCTCAGATTTGTACCTGTTAACAAATCGTGGAAATCAAATTTTGATAATAATTAAGCCACTCTCAAGTATAAATTTCTTCACAGAATACGAGTGTTTGGGAAGTCGCCATTTTGTCAAACAAAAAATTTTACTAATTCTTCCACCAATACCTCTACTTATCTATTAGAGAACTGAAAACGGTAGATTGTATAATAATACTTTTTATTGAATTTGAATGTGAGACAATTTTAAGACATATTTTTTGGAGGTATTTCTGTGAGTCAAGGGAATGATGCAACGGAATTAAGAAATATTATTGTAACCTCATATATTTTTTCAATTTTACGAATCACCTTAATAAACATACAGTTCCATATTTAGTTACTTATACCTTGTGCTCATTGATACTTTTTTTTAGCGGACGAAATTTAAATATTCAATTTTCAATTTGCTACTCAAATTTACATAAATGAATATTGCAAAGGAACTTCTATTGGCTATATGCGTTGATAGCAGGCCAATAGGGCCTTGAGTATACGACCTTGCTGAAGTTTCGTACGAATATTCAACTCAGTTCCATTACACAAAAGTTGCTAATGTAAATTGATGACGTCGAAGTGGACGACAATAATTTTTCTGGATATTTTTAGTATTGGTAGTGTTGAATATCTAATAAATTATAGGAATTCTACGGTACTGCGAATTTAAAAGAGCTTTTTATTAGAGGACATGCTATTGTATGACCAATTCCGCAATATGCTGCACTAGTAGGGCAGACATACGGAAATCCACTTATCGATAGCCAATGGTAAGGGTTCAGAAGGTCGGCACGCTGTGCGTAACGGAAGTTTTAAAAACCTGACGGCATGACGGCTCTTCACGTCTTCGTTGAAAAGTGCGCAGTAAAATTGGTGGTTGGCCAAACACTGACTTTTTGGAAATGGAGGACAGAGTTTGTATGGGAATGTACTGATCAGTGTAAGGCATAAGGCTACTGCCGGTCCACTGCTGTATATATCACGTAGAAGTTTTTTTTATTGAGAAGGCCGCGGAGCTAGCCTGTAATGCAGCAGTAGGCAACTTTAGAGTAGACAGTCAAGTAGCAAACTAAATCGTACTCTGGTATCGCATGTCGGCAGAAAAAAGAGGCCTTCACTTTTACTGGCTGTCAGGTCACAGAGCCATCGAGGGCAAAGAGATCGTGGACAAACGTGCTGTCTGTCTGTCGTCCGATAAAGTGACCGACATTGGTAAACTAATTCATTGACTTTTCGATGATCTGGACAAGAACGCAGCAAGAAAGTTTAAAAGTCGATGATATGATTTATTAACATGCAAAACTACAAAGATTGTGAGCGAAGTGGTTGATAAAAAGTACTCAAAGTTCCTGCTCACTATTGATAGAACAGACTATAGGAACTTAATATGAATACTAACTGGTCACAGTCTGGTGGTAACACACGCCTGCAGAATGAGTCTCATAGATCAAAATGACTGCAGGAAATATCAAGAGGGTCAGGGAAACAATGGAGAAGATGGAACCGACGACGTTGAGTCTGCCTCTGCAAATTGCTGGGCAATCCAGAATCAGGTGTCGTGGGGTTTTCTGTTCCACGTCGCAGAACTGGCAGTTTGCACAGAGACTTTGCCCATGCTGGACAAGTATTTCCTGAGCCTGCAGTGTCCTGTATATGTCGGAATTTGTCTCGGCCGAGGTTGGTCATTTCCCTAAACCATGCGAAATTGTACCCTCTCAGAAGCAGGTTGCCACATGTTGCATTCCTGCTGCCAATGTTATTCTCTAAACACTCTCTACTGAAGCGCAGACACAGGTCAGTCTTTTCAGCTTCGATAGCTGAAGGCCTACCGAATACTGCGTTGCCTTAGGTGCCTAAGAAATCGTTATTTAAGTGACAGTACAGCTTATGATCATAGTTTAGCCATCATAGGATACTTGGATTGTACCCCCAGGAACTGCAGGCTAGGGATCTGCATATCATGACTGCCTTGGTGGCTTCTTTTTGGTCTTGATGTTTATTTGTTTGAGCAAATAACGTTTTGGAACACGCTCTTCCATTACATAGTGGTGACCATGCACCTTCGACTTATGCCTTACAGTATTAAAACAAAACAATATTTCGACTACAAATTTATTTTTTCTTATCTGTCATAATCTAAGCGCCTATACCGACATTATCACATCTAATCTAAAAATAATCGATAGATTAAAGCTCCACCTTTTCAATGGCAAAATCATGCATATTTTCATTTTTCATTCATCAATGGAAGTCAAGAGGAAAAGCAACTGAAAAATAAAAGTGAAAAATGTAACAACCACCTTCCACAAGTACTTACGTCGTTGGCAATGAAAAAATCGTCACGTAAACTACTGCCACCAGCATCGTTCACAGCAGCGCTGCCAATAAGTATGTCTGACTCTGCGCCGCCGCTGCTAGAGCCGCCACCGGCACCTACACCATAACTGCTGTGTGCACTGTATAGTGTTGGTGTGGCGCCAACAACGTTGCCAACAAGCGTCGTCTCACCATCCTCATCGATTTGTTCGTTCGCATTCGACGCACTCAAGTTTCTGCCCCAAATTAACGAACAAAGGGCTTGGTCCTCCTCGGTGTTGTACAAACGTGTTATCATGGCGTTCTCTTGCGGCCGTTCGCTGGGTAGGTAGCGCTAAACGAAGCTTTATTTAAGTGGAATGGCGGGTTAAGGGCGACACGGCAGCGACGGTGTCAAAAGTGTGAAACTTTCTATTATTAGAAAACGAAATGAAAAGAATGAAGCGTGGCGTAGTGAAGGCAATTTAAAGGTGAAAGCCGCTGACGTCGCAATTCAATGTCTTTTTTTTTATTAATCTTATGTTGTTGTAGTTGTTTTTCTCGGTTTTTAATACTTTGTTTTTTTTTTTGTTTTTTTTTTTTGCTGCTTAGCAGTTGTATTTGTAGTTGCGTTGTGTTTGTTTTGTTTTTGTTGCGCGTCAATTCATTTGAATTGCAAATCGTTGCGCCGGCTGGTGAGGTCGCGCCATGCCACGCAACTTTACAGCACAGTTGCCAACGTCAGCAGCGCTACACCGCCCGTTAGTGAGTGCAGCTATTGGAGTCGTGACGCCAGCAACTCGGGCAGCAGTGATTTGCGAAGGCAATGTCTGTCTTGTTGGCGGAAGTGCGAGGTTAAAGCAGCAATAAGAATATTAACGGAAAAAGCGCTCCTGCGAAACGCACTGCAGCCGCAGGCCAAAGTAGAAAGCCAATAGGTTAGAGGCAAGTGCGTAGTTGTTGCTGTTGGTTACTTGCAGGTTAAACTTAAGCTGTCTTAAAATTCATTGCTGATTTTAAATAATGTTAAATTAATTTAAATTACTTTAAATGCCACCGCTTCGTTTAATTTTTCGTTGCTGTCCCCACTTTAATCGCTTTTTTTGTTGTTTTTTGATTATTCCACTTCCTTCCTGCCAAAATTGTTTGTTGCTTTTCGCATAAATTTTCTTGCACCGCAAATATTTCTTTCACTTATACACATTCTTTTTATGGCCACAAAATCTGGCTGAAATTTTCCACTGCTCCTTCCGCTCCGCCACGTCAGTGCCCAATGGTTTGCCACCTGCTGTGTCCGCTTTAATTGCTTTTGTTGTTTTCCCAACCTAATTTTTATTAGATTGTTAATTGAAATCGCTTTATTTTGCTTGTGGCACATCTTCACATATTATGATAGCTGTCGCTTTATAGTCCAGCGTGTTACCTAAAATGAAATAAAAATGTACTTCAATAATTTGCACAGAAATTCTAATAAAAAATATTATATTTTTATGATCTTCACGTGCAGGGTATATATATTAATTTATTAGTTCATATTATTTTCAAGTTTGCGGCAAAAAGTGCTTTGTTATATTTAGGCTACTGTAATGTGCTACAGGTATTGAAATGAATGAGTAAACATTTATTAAGCGAAGAATGGGACAGACAGATCGAGAAAATTGCAGAAAATTTTTAGAGCAAGGCACCAGAGAAGCAATGGAGCATCTCTTGTACGTTTCTCCCGGATTGGCAAGGCCACGTTGTAAATATCTGGGGTCTACACGGTATGATTTATTGGAGGAGGTGCGTTAGTGAGGTCTCAGATGCGTGGCTCATTTTCCCTACCCTACCTACCACATTAACTTAACCTCACCCAGCGTTTCAAATTGAACCATTTATTATATAATACTGCACAGGATTTCCCAATCTATACACAAATTAAAATCTTAACGAAATTCCTATATATAACTCAATAGACAAAATTTAAAGCTTCAAAGCTTTCTTTCTTCACTCAGTTAATTTTTCTAACTTTATCATACATTTATGGGTAAAAATAATGTTCAGATACCCATATTGATATATGCAGCATAATAAAGTTATAATTTTGACATAAAGAACAGAAAATGTATGCCTCCTCTTTACTATCAAATTTTTTGTTGAAAAATTTTTTTAAGTGTCAACTCTGCACGGGATTAATACTTGTAAATAGCGGTTTTCAGATAACATTTATATTTCAAATTTAGTGCTGAAAATTATTCCAAATTATACCTCAACGATTGTAAAATGTTGAGCATATGAAAGATACCAGAACATTTCATAAAATTTCAATGGCCCATATAAACTTTTCCTTTGATTGCCTGAAACTTTTTTATTATGTTTGTGAGAAGTTTGATATCCGTGTGTCAATTACTGTGTGCTGCGTAGTCATTTGTTTACGACACAAAACGTTTGTTTAGCGATTTTTACCGTGAAATGAACGGTGATCCATTTCGAGGCTCCCTACTTCTTTCTTATACCCTGAACAGGGTATATTAAGTTTGTCCCGAAGTTTGTAACATCCTGAAAGAAGTGTCGGAGTATATATATATATACTTTAATATATAAATGATCAGTATGTCGAGCTGAGTCGATTAGCCATGTCCGTATGTCCGTCTGTCTATATATATACAAACTAGTCCCTCAGTTTTTAAGACATCGTTTTGAAATTTTGCAAACGTCATTTTCTCTTCAAGAAGCTGCTTAGTTGTCGGTACTGCCGATATGGGACCACTATAACATATAGCTCCCATACAAACTGGACGATCGGAATCGAGTTCTTGTATGGAAAATTTGCACATTTCACAATGTATTTCCATAAAAGTTGGCAGAGGTTATTTTCTAAAGCAAAAATTAACTAACCTACTCCCAGCTTATATCTCTCCATGGAACCACCAGATTAAGTATAACTTCATGTGAGAGAGAAAGACTTTTCATCTATCATACGGACGGACTGACGCCTAATACTTATACTGTATGTGTTTTAGCTTTGTCATAATTAGAGCTAACAGTTTTCTATTTACCAGAGACAAAAGTGGCGTCAAATTTTTCACCGATATGACCAAAGAGTCTTCTATACACTCTGTACCCGTCGAACATTACGGACTAAGCTCGTAATGGGATCGGAACAGATAGTTTCTAAATCATCCATGTTCACTCAGTACTTGGGTTAAGAAGAAGTCTAGGTCCCCATGTTGCCTATCTATTCACGAATGGAGGTCCGGGAGTAGTCTCTGGGTTCACCGATTTTTGGTTGAGGTTGGCACCGCTGCTGCCACATTGTGAAGCTTTTGGTTCTTTTCTCTCTTTTTTACCCCTACCGACGGTTCTGATAGCTGGTCCAATCGCGCGAATTCATCTCCTTGAATTTCAGTGAGCGGCAAACATGCAAGAACTTCAGCAGCGACGCTTGATATCGTTCGGATAGCAATTCCCTATAGTGAGTGATATCCTTTCTTTAACCTGTCTTGTTCTTATGAGCAAGACATCCGTTTTCTGCTCAGCCAACTCTAAACTCGTGCTGCTATCATTGCATTTTAGCTAGAGGTCATCTAGTAAAAGCCTAAGATCGAGCCTTGTGGCGCTTTAAGTTCTGAATCGACGCGGGATTAACCGTATAGACTGTAAACTTTACATATTCCCACAGAAGAAAGTCTAACGGTGTGACATCACACAGTCTTGGTGATTATAATGGCGCGACGGTTACGATTTCACCGGTATCGATTTTGAAGATATGTATATGGACCCATGATTTCGCTGGCCTAAAATCCATACGAGACTGTCTTTTTTCTGGATACGCTTCTTGGCAAGTGTGGTAAATTTGCTTGTTTACATGCCCGTTGAGTCAGAAATGTCACTTATTGCTGGACAAAGTTTGGCTCGAAAATGTCGAATGTGAACATTTTTTTTTTTGTTCCCAAATTCTTTATTTACAATCTGTCTGTATTCAAGACAATAAGCAAATGTTCTAAAATATACATAACTTTATACTGTTGGACCCCAGTGGGCGCAAAAGTAATATTTTATTCTATACTTAGCTTAAGCTAGTGATAAAAAAAAAAAATTATGATAATTTATTTCCTGTACGGGAGGTCTAGAATATGAAATAGTTTCAGTCGAAACGTTTCATCTGTTTCATCTATGGTATTTCGCGGTATTATGATATGGTATTTGCACACCGTTTAAGTACAGAGGCATATATCTAGTATTGTTGTATGTGAAATCAATGTGTACTGATTTAGTCTCGTTTAATTTTATTCGCCATTTAGCTGTCCATTCATATATTTTGTTTAAATGTTCTTGCAATCTTGCAATTGATACAGTTTGTGTTTTGCCGACAGACAGAACCGCAGTATCATCTGCAAATGTTGCTGCAATACAATTGTCGTCATGTGGTAGTGTGTACAGAGTACATATCTCCATGTTTAATTCGAAAAAAACGGTCCGAAAGGTATGATTTTAAAATATTGTAATATTTTTTTGGTAAAAGCATTTTAATTTTGTTTAGGAGCCGTCATGGCAAACTTTATCAAAGGCTTTAGACACGTCGAACCTCATCGTCAGTTATTAGAGGGATTTCGGTATTATTCTTGTAAGTATGAGGTTCAATTTCTGCTGCATTGGATGTGTCATATGGTTTGAAGACACCTTCAAGGTATGCCGCTTTGCTTTCTCGATATCGCTCTTGGCCCATGTCTGGTCTGCTTTTCTGATTGGATGATGTTGTGTTACGGGTCAAGCAAAATTTTTGGTACACTTCTACAGTGAATAATGGTCGTTAGATAAACTTTTCAGATAATAGCTGAGAGTTATATTTTTAAATGCCTTTATCTTATTGGTAAGTTTTTACACAATTTGTTAAGACAACTTTTGTCAGATGGAGATCTTGTTTGTTGCCACTTTCGGCGTAATCGGCGTTTTTCTGCTACCATTTCTTTAATTTCTTTGGTATACTTATGACCTGCTGTGAAGTTTCTTTTAATGTACTACTGTTTAGTGTACTACTCCAGGCTGCATATTAAATTGTATTTGTCAAATTCATGATTTCGTTATCTAGTTCGGAATTGCTACTTATTTTTACGTGACTATCAACTGGGGATAGCATTTGCTTAAAGTATTCCCAGTCGGTATTTTTATTTGTTAGCGAAAATGGAGGTTCCTTAATAACAATACTTTCGTGTAGTGTTAAATATATTGGTGAATGGTCAGAGGTCATATCCAAACCGCTTTCTATGCACATATAATTTGAGGAGATATGTTTTGTAATAAAAAAATCAATAAGATCTGGTGTTTTTAGTGGATCTGTTGGCCAATAATTTGGGGTTCCAGTAGACATGATACTGCACCCAGTCAATTAAAGAGCTTTCAGTAACTCTCTGCCCTTTGTGGTTATAAGCCTCAAGCCCCAGTGAGTATGTTTCGCATTATAATCACCACCCATTATAAATCGGTTTTTATGGCT